CCTATTCAGCTGCCTGTCGACCAACACCCCCAGGTCCTTTTCCACTGGGCAGCTTTCCAGCCACTCTTCCCCGTGCCTGTAGCATTGTGTGGGGTTGTTGTGACCCCAGTGCAGGACCCGGCCCTTGGCCTTGTTGAACCTCAGTCCATCTGATTCAAGCAAGAAATAACTTACCTCTAATAAAAAAGACCAGAACAGCAGCACTCTTTCTGACCCAAGTCTGCCAGGTGTGCGGTTTACAGAAAATATTTCATTCCACAAGCGGTATCATGGCTTACTGGAGCTTATTGAGAATTGCTGGGCTTTGGCTACAGCCCTCCAACAGCGCCATTCTCAAATAAATGTGTGGAGGCTCTGCCAGGAGACCTAACCCGTTTTCCAGGAGGAAACCCAGGTTTTTCAGTTGCTAGCAGCACTGTAAGACCCCTTGTGCATGGCCAGCCAGTTTCTTTTGCCCTCTGATCACAGCTGATGAAACTGATCCCTGCTACTCCAACAGTCAAACAGGAACATGCTAATACCAGAGCAATACGAAGAGTGGATCTGTGAGTGATACCACAGGCATGAATGAAATATTAAAAGCTGAAAAAGGCCAAAAAAGGTCTTTGGAAAAACTTGCCCACAGCCTCCAGGAGATTGTTCTCGAGTTTCAAGGGAAGCAGCATTGGAAGACTCACCTTTATCCGGTGTGGTCTTCTTGGCTGCAGTCCCTTGCCAGACACCCACAGGATTGCAGAAGCTTCCAACCTAAACATTGGAAGGACAGCAGCACATGAGAGGGAAAAGAGTGAACACACTTAGATAAAACATAAAAAGGAAGTTAAAAAATTCAAATAATAAAATGAAAACTGAACTTGTTTGATGAACTTTTTTTCCCCCACAAAAGGCAGCTGGGCCATCCCGTTGAACTGGTTAGCCAGAAGGAACGGCTAATTCCTGCTGGGCATCTCTCAAGGCGCCGAAATGGTTAAGAAATAATGCTGCAGTTGTCAAAATTCAGAATTGGCAGGAAGGAGGAAAAGTTAAATTTCAGACACCACCAGTAACGAAGAAAATGGGTGTCAATGCACAAGCTACTCAGCACAGGGCGCCACAGTCATTAAAGGCATTGGACAACACAGCTATTGAACACGCAGGTGCATGAAACTGCTCCAGCCTCACAGACTGGAGGATCCCAGTCACTTGGCCACAAGGAGAGGGAAAGGGAAGAATAAAGATGTGAAATTATGCGTGGTTTGCCATTTCATTTTCCACACTGGGGTTCAGGCCAGCCACACTCTGTTGTAAAGGTCAACGCCAGCCAGAACTGGTTGAGCAGAAAAGTACACAAACAAATATAGAGATACTTTCTGGAATATGAAGAGCACGGAATTCAGCTGGCTGAAGGGCGCAGAACGCTCCTACTCCTGCTGGTGAGGGTTTCCCCAGACAGCCAAGCTTTATGAAGGTGGCTGTAAACACGTGCAGCATTCCTCAAGTTGTACAAAAGCTTTTCCAGTGAAGACTGCCATCCAGAGTAAGCCATCAACAGTCACTGCGGCTTACCTGGTAAAAAAGGGGTCTTATTAGCACTAATAATAAGACTAGCTCTAGTAACCGTTGAAATGAGGGGAAAAAAGATGAGAAAGGGAGAGAAGCATGCCCATGTACAATTTGTGGTCTTTAATGGAAATTGCTTACATCAGTTTCAATTAATTGCAAATTGCTTTTACTCTATGATACACTAGAACTGCAAGAGAGCTTTCTAAGTACGGTCAGTTCTCTGGTTACTAGAACGCATCGTTCCTTGGCGGTCTGTTTTGCTTTAGTATTAAATACCCAGCATTAAGCGAAAAAAGCCATGCAGCTGTGTCACAGCTGAGCGGTGAGGGAATATGTCCTAAAAATACCATGAACTGGACACACTTCAGGCGACCCAGTCAAAATGATAAACTTCCCATTTAAAAGCCCTGTACAGCAGAAGAAGCACATTCATCTTCCTTCCATCCTGCAGACACATGAATGACAAAGCTGGAGTTTTAGGTGCTGAGATCCCACACTCAGTAGTGGCAATGGCACAGTTCCCACCATAGCCAGAGTGTTGTTGCCGAGTGCTTGTTGTCTGTAGACAGAGCCATCACAGCAGCGGAGTATGTGGGAACACCTTCATACTTTCCTACAATTAATCATTTGGGTGAACCATAATTCACGATTGTCCTAACTCAGGAATCTAGCAAGCAATAAGCTGGAAAAAAAAATTATAAATAATCAAGCTTGCTGGAATTCAGCAACCTGACTCCAAACTAGCAGAGAATGAGAACTCGAATCCAAAAAATTCTGTCTGAAATTGCTGGTGCTGAGACCACAAACCTTTGAGAATCCGAAGCCCACTTCCTTATTTCTGCAGCTGTTTACTAAGTTGAGTTGTGCTGTGGGCTGTGTTCTGCTAAAAATGACCCCCATGTTCGGCGATCTGTGCAGGAGTTGGCTCACCGTGGCACTGCATCCGAACACCATCACCATGAGTACCACCATGGACGATCAGCGCATCTGGAAGGAAGGTTCGGTTCCAGCTGCCGGACATAGAAAAAAAATCCCTGTGTATTCTTTAGGCAACAAAATAGATGGTACCCAGTGCTAAACATGTTACCTCCTCAGGTGTTGGCCCAACAGAAAATTGGAAGGGAAAGAACTACTGACGCCACAGTAGCTTCATCTTGGGATGGATTACAGTCAAAGGCCGAGATCCCCATCTCTTAAATCAGTTTCTCTTGAAAATAACTGCATAAAAGGGAATAAATATAATCTGAAAAGAGCTGTGAGAAGCATTTAACTCGTTGCTGCTCCTGAACTTGGAAAGTTGAAGCTGACAGTATCAGAATTACTTGACCAGAATTCTAGACCTAAAGGAGTTTAATGATGTCTCATTCTTTTAAATTAGCCTTCCAGTTTAGGAAAAGAAAAGACAGGAATCTGCAGAGTAATGAAAGTAAAACATAAGCTAAAAATAGAAAGGGTACACATGGTCAAATAAAAAATTCAGGGAAGGGAACATTCCACCAAATGAAAAAGTCCACAGAGGATTTCCAGAACATCTCTCCTCCTTGTATTGAAAAAGTGATGGAAGAAACTGTCGTTCATTTATTCCTTGGGCAAATATTTCTTTTTTGTTGCCATTGCCTTCTCTGAAAGACCTCTTTCAGCTGTAACAGGAGTCAGCTTCAGCCACCTCAGTGTATGCAACCCTGAACGGCCGTGGCTTGTGCAGAGCTGTCACCAAAGTCCTCAGCTCCCGAGGCCAGAGAGGTTGCCTTCACAGCTGACTGCAGCCACAGTAAGGTACAGAAGGGACTGACAGTATTCCTGAGAAAGCACAAGAATATACCCATTTTCTTACACTGTACAGGTGCATTTGTCACCCGTTGCTACCACCCGAGGATCTTAATGTCTGAGCTGATTATCCAAACGATCCAAGGATGTAAATGGACTCTGGAAATACTGATGGTCTGTTGGCTGGTGGAGCGTTCAGCCTTCAGGATGATACAGCTCCCCACTGCCTGCCAACATTTGAGCTCTGAGCGCAAGCAGGAGGCTGGCTTGGCAAACGTTCTGACAGAACCGGCCTGCAGCCGGCCCGTCCCCTTGTCTCTGACAGTGTCGCTGGCCCCAGGAGTTTCTGCAGTAGCTGTAACCTCTGTATTCAATATCTGGCATAAAATTTAGTCCAGCAAAAATGTCCAAATTAGAAACCTTAGGGTCCTCCTTATAGACAGAGAGTCCCTGCTTGCTATCCCATTGTCAGCCTGGGCTGGAAATCGCGTTGCTTCCATAACCGCTAAACCAGAGCCCTTATCAGCGAGGCCTCGCTACAATGAGAGCTTCAGTCTATATCCCAAATCTAAGCAGACACTTTCTTGTTGTAATTTTGGCTTTTATATCAGTATCACTCCTATGTGTTTGAAATACTAAACTGATAAATGGCTAGGTATTAATTTTCTATAAAGACAGACATACAGACACGGCGTGTTCACGTAGCACCATCACATACAAACCTCACATCTAGATTAGGTGCGTAAGTGTGGTGGCAGTTTGTGCCCGATAGGGTTTTAAATAGCACAGAAGCAGATTCCCTCTCACTTGGGCATGACTGTTCTGTAAGATGCTGTTCTATACCTGTAAGAAACAATAAATGGGAGAGAACTAAGAGACAGTTTCATATTTTATTTTAAAAACAAGTAGGACATAAAATGAGTATTTCCCCCAGAAGAGCTCTCTTGATTTTAACTAATCCACGGCAGTAAAGCACAGGAGAAGCATATTAAAGCAAGCTCTGTGGGAGCTTTCTGTAGCTGGCAGGGTTTCTCCAGAGCCCCGGGAAGGGCAGGATAGCACATCTGGAAGATGCAAGAGCAAAACAGGAGATTTGGAATCATTTCTCTTGCTCACGGGAGGGAAGAGCTCTGCTGGCCCTCTGCATGCAGCAACCCAGCTCCACAGCACTTGTTTACTGTATTTACTTGGAAAATTAAAAGGAATAGGATTTAAAGGAGACTCCACATGATGATGCTCTAGAGTGCTTTTTGCAGAGAATTGGCTCAGGTGATATCCTGGAGCACTGTATTCTACACAGAGACAGACTCAGTCCTGCAGGAAAAATTCCCTGCCACGTCCCAGAGTTTGAGAACTTCCCAGCCATATCTGGGTGCCATAAACATAAGTTTCTCTGCTGACTACAATCACCTCCAGCTTTCATGGTCATAAAAATCTCTTCTAGATGTGATATTTTAGAACCACACTTTCACATACACAATATTAATGATGTATGTAGTGCAGCATGCAACAGAAGAGATCTGAGCTCCAGCTATGTACAGGACCTTCTGCTGCTTATTTCTTATTTAAATCAATGAGAAGGGAAACTTACTTCCTGGGAGGTTTGTTGTTGGAAGATGACTCTGGCATGCCCATTCCCTGGCATTCATGGGAAAGACACTCTCACCCTTGGAGAAGATAGGAAATAAAAGATGAAGTCTCAAACTATAGCTGGTTTCATAGAATCATAGAATCGTTTGGGTTGGGAAAGCCCTTTAAGATCACCAAGCCCAACCGTTACCCTAACCCTGCCATCCCACCACTAAACCCTGGCCCTAAGCACCTCGTCTGCCCGGCTTTTAAATACCCCCAGGGATGGGGACTCGACCCCTTCCCTGGGCAGCCCCTTCCAGTGCTTGAGTCCATTGCAGGTCCTGATTGCAGTCTGGCTCTGCGGGAATAACCCAAGCCTCCTAGCAAAATGGTTGCAAGGTCAGGAGTAGATCTTCTGTCCAAATTGCTGCAGCTAAACCTTGCCAGCTGCTTTACTCCCATTGAGAGATTCAGATAAATTCTGCCAAGGCAACTCACTGGACTGACCCTGCTCCTCCCATGGTGTTACCTTGATTCTGAATTTTACATATAGGTTTTCATTTGTATTATTATTCTAAAACAAAGACAACTTTGCTTGCACAGTCATTAATGACATTTCCATCCTGCCATTTCAGTCACCCATTAGCAAAAGAAGGACAATTTGGAGGTGAGAACCTCAGCTAGGCATGCTCCCCCATACAGTTATTAAAGCAAAGTGGCCTAAGCCATCTTATTTTGGCAAACATCAAAAGCATCAAAACCCAGCCTATACCTAACAGCCCAAGCCCTAGGAGATCCAGCAAGAAGCAGCGTTTGTTATTCTGCCTTCCCTTCTGCTCTCTGACCCCTGTCCTAGTTAAACTTGAGTGATGCTGAACTGAGCTAAGCTTAAACATAAACCACAGTAGAACCAGCAACTCTTTCAGCTTGCAAGGAGCCTTGAGAGATGTCCAGTCCTCCTGCTTTCAGAGCACGGTGAACATTGATTTCAGACCAGGTTCCTCAGCGCTTTACCAGATGGGAACTGAAGACCTCCAAGGTGTGATGCCTCTGCAGTGCCATGGGTGTCTGTCCTTCTGGTTAATTATCTTCTAAATGAAAAATACTTTTCCTTATCTCTGGTCCTTTGCTTCAATGTATGTTCACTGTCTGTTATTATTCTGCTGTGTGCCTCAGTAAAGAGCCTGACTCTTCCTCACTCATGCCAGAGAGGGGATATCGGGTCCCCTCCAAGCAAGTCCGATTCCCTTGGCTGCCTCTTCTAATCTCCTTACCCTGTCTGTCCTGCAATGGCCTTGCTCCAGTTCATCAGCATCTTCCTTACGCTCTCTTCATCCAAACCTGGATGAAGTGCTACAGAAAACTCAGAAAAGTGCGAGGACACACAGAAGCCAGGAGAAATGTAACCAGTCCAAACCTTAAATATTCCGTACTACAGCTACTCCAGCCCAGTATTGGTTAACCAATATATCCCATAGCTGGAGTGCTCACAGCTGGTGTAAACGGTCCTACTCTTTTCCTGGGCTCGCAGTCACTCACCTCACCTCTACCTTTAAAGGCAGTCTTGTTTAATTCTTCTGATGAATCTGAAAACATGCTATGGAGGTGCTTGTGCAGTCCAGCAGATCCCTGAGAACAAACCAGAAGAAATTACTGATGGTGACGGCGGGCATTTGACTGATCGAGTTAGCAGTGTCCCTGTTCACTGCAGGGGAGTTAGACTCGATGACCTCTAGGGGTCCCTTCCAACCCAAAATATTCTATGATTCTATGATTCTATGATTCTATGACTGCCTCCCAAAGAGAATAATGTCCCCAAGAGCATCAGGATGCACGCAGCTGCTCCCAGCTCCATGGGATGAGGACACTAATGACAAAGTTTCTTCCTAAACATGCTATTTGCCCTTATTAGTTGCTCAAGAGTCATCTCTCTTCCCCTACTACCAGAGACAGTTATCAGGGAACCTATCTGTAATTCCAGGTTGGGAATCTCAACTGGCAGTAGATTAAGTCAGAGGTGGAGAGAAGTAAATGAGGGCATTTTTCTTGTATCTTACAAAATCCCTACCTTTCCTTACAAGTGGATTTGTCGTCACTCCAGCAACTGATATATCTGAATTACAGTGGACCCAATTATTTAAATGTCATGCCACGTTTCTTCGGGAGCTCTGCACAGTCCACTGGCAGACCCAGGTTTTCTTTGTGCCTGGCAAAGCACGGGCTGTTCTGCACGCTGGGTCACCCAACGAGCAGCAGTCGTAACCTATGGTTTTTACTCTGAGCACTTTGCCAGTTTTAGATATTTGCTCTCATGTCAGAAAGTAACAAAGGAGTTAAGAAAGCCTCAGCTTCCCCAGCCCCCTCAGCTCAAGAGCAGAAATTCTTGCTGCAGGGGGGTTCATCTGGTCCCTATTTAAGAAGGATCACGTTATAGCGCAGAGATCATTTCCCCCTTGATCTCTGTGAAGTGGGAAGTGAAGTTGCCATCATTCTCCTAACAATGTGAAAGATTAAGGAGTCCATTTCTAAAGCGCTGCAATAAAACACAATTGGCAGGCAGGGCGAGGATGAGAGGAAAAAAAAATAAAGGGTACAAGTAGCAGGCTGAAGGAGCAAATTGCCCTTTTGAAGCA